GCTCAGGTCTCTTCCGACCCTAGAAACTATGAAATTATGAAACTGTAGTCTGGAGAAAAGAAAACCAAGAAGGGATTTGATAGCGGTCTGCAAATACCCTAAGTGCAATTACAGAGGATAGAAATGGGCTTTTCTTTGGGGTTGTAGGGCACAGGGACAGTAGCTATGGCTTCAGGCTTCAACAGAGGTTGAAGATATGTTCTGCTACAGAGTGTTATATCCATGGATCCATGAATATAAAGATGGGAGAGGTTGGGTGGAGGGGGCTGTGTTAAAATGATTCTTGGAAATCCTAAGTAGTCATAATCTTTCTTCTTATCTCTCTGAGAGAACAAAGATCTGCATAGGCTGTCTGACAGGTGACAAATGCAGGAACAGACAGCCTGTTCTTGCTTGGAGGACTATAAAGATTATAGAACCTCTCTATAATATACAAATTGGAGACGTTAGTCGTATTTGGGGGAGCAGTTTGCACAATTACATGGAAATCTGGCTCCTATAAACTAGACTATAACAGTCTATTGAACAAATGTATTATTGTATCTTTTGTAAAGTACAGATCCCCCTCCACAAGCTCTCAGTAACTGGAATAAATGATTTAGGCCTACAAGTCTTTATTTCAGTCACCATAGGAATGTATCAACAAGGGATATTTATATTTTTTCCTTTTTCTTTCTCTGTGTTTTTAGTGCTTAAATCATTTTTGTATTTCTTTTTTATAGGAAGAAGAGGCTGTGTGAGCTCTATGCAAAAGTTTTGGGATCAGAAGAAGCCTTACATGTAAGAATATAACATGGTGTATAATGTTAGTTTCCTTGTTGCAATCAGGAGGTATGGTGTGAAATTAGAATGTAGCGGTTATATCAATGTTCTTGCCATTCACAAAGGAAGAGTATTCTGAGAACACTTATTTGGATATACAAGAGAGTAATAAATCTACGAATTTCACTTCACATTTTACAGAGAATAAAATTACATACCTGTGAAGCAATTAAAATGCAAGAACTCTATTTGAAACAAGGTTCTAAAACCAAAGTGTTATATTCAGTTTTATTATCTAATAAATCTAAATTGGTTTCAGATGCTGCAGGACTGGCCTCTTCATCCAATCCAAATCTTAAGCCTATAATGCATAATATTTCTGGTCTCACTGATTGCCCACTCCTGTAGCAGCCTCTACCTTTGTTTCTTTCTGTCATTCCTTTCTCCATAATGGTAACTAAATGATGGGTTTCCTTTGATAATTTATTTTATATGAACATTTTTTTTCTTATTAAAGGCAGTTTTAGGTGTGTTAAATTTTTAGACACAAAGCACAATAATATGTCCTTTTAAATGCAACAGAACACGTGGAGCTATGGAAATGTCAGATTTTATATATGCAGCCAATAAGTAAGGCGCAAACTAGTAGTAACCCTTTCTGGTCATAATAGATTATGGTTCTGTGGTTCCTATACAACTTTTCAGTGAGCAGGTGCACTTACATGAAATAAAGTGGAAGTTATGTCTGCTTATATGAGAGGCAAATCTGAGTGTGTGGCTATCCACTGTTCACAACATTAGTTTCTCTACACAGGTGGATTAGGAGGAGAAGATAGAAACAGACACTGCTTGACATCACATTTGTACTATTCTTATGCCAGCACAAATGGTGAGCAAGTAGCCATCCCTACCCTTTGTTGCTCCACTAATGTCTGGAATCCCTGGGCAAGGGGAACAAGTTACCTACTGTCCTGCAACAGGCCCCCTGCCTGATACAGGACAGTGGGCCACGTGTGTTTTCCCCCAATAAAGTGGATCAGCTCTGGCAGGAGGGATCTCATCACAGCTGATCCACCTTGTTTGACATTTGTTTTTATGCAGAGAAAGGCAGTTAGCTGTGTTAGTCTGAAGTCAGCCAGAAGGCAGGGCAGGGTTCCAGTTTTAGCTAGGAGTATCTGGAATTAAGGTTTATATCTGGTCCGTATTTCCTGAAGAGACTTGTTAAGTGTACTCATACACTACTTTTTGCTTCTGTTTCCTTAATTTTACTGTCCTCTGATATTTATTTTGCCTGCCCCTTGAGTTTCATTAACTCTGTCTTGCAGCCAGTGCATTATGAAGAGAAGAACTGGTGTGAGGAGCAGTATTCTGGGGGGTGCTACACTGCATATTTCCCACCAGGGATAATGACTCAGTATGGAAGGTACAGTATTTTGCTAAAAGACTCAACAGTGGGAGGATAGGAATGAATTAATAAATAACTTGAGCACAAGTCAAAAAGCCTGGCAATATTTTTCTCCCCAACTTGTGGGGCTGTTTTGTTGAAGGACCATGATGTTAATGTGTTCTTTCTCTTTAATCTTTAAAGTACAGATAAATAGATTCTTGTGGCACAGCAGGTAACTTTTCATGAGAATTTTGCACAGTAGCCTTTTGAGGTCAAGTATTGGCATTATCATTATGTATTTATTTTATTTATTTATTTTAATTTATATATTTTGGAATTTCCAAACTCCCAAGTAAGGGACCAGTCCTGCAAATGTTAATGATTCTGAGTTACTTCAGTAGACTGTTCCTATTACCAGACATGGTTTGATGCATTAAGCACTGTGTACTCTGTAATGTTCTCCTTGATTTTTAGGATTTTGAAAGAAAACACATTGAGTCAAAAAAGCAATGATTGCCTTCCAAATGTGCAGTTATCTTTCATTCAGTGCTCTAGTCCCTTCTGAAGTGTTAGCATCTGATTTTGCAGGTAACTAAGGAAGCATCTACACATCATCGTATGGTGATGTTGCTATGCCATACAGTGATGTTGCTGCTACCTTTTGGAAGTACAAAAGCATGGCACAGTAATTGCCTGTACAGCACCATGTGCATGGTGTACAGTTAGATTCTGCCACTATGTTGCCAGATAAGCGCACTAAAATGGGGGAGTGAGCTGCTATGGTGACGTAGCTGCTGATCACATGGAGACTTATGTGATCACTACATCACTGTAATGTGCCATACAGTGATGTAACATGTTGCTACGTCACTGTAGGGCAGAGGTAGGCAATGTTTTTTGGCCAGAGTGCCAAAAAACCCTGCAATGCCTACTTTGGAAGGTGCCGGAGTGCCAGCATGCCAGAAAAAAAAAATGAGGTTGGGGGTACATGGCAAGATGCCCTGCTGCCCTTGCCCCCCACCCAAAGCCCCTGCCATCAAGTCTGGGCTCTGTGGCTGTCAGCAGCTACCCAGAACCTGGGCCAGCTACAAACATCTGCTGCCTCCCAGACCAGGCCCCGGGCTCCGGGGAGGCAGCATGTGCGAGCAATGCTTCCCACTGTGCTGCCCTTGCCGCTTCTGCAAAGCAGCATTGGAACCTGGTGCGGCA